GAAGAAGAAAAGGTGGAATAAAAAACTAAAAACTAGAAATAAATAAATGAATAAATAAAATAAAATGCTCTATCCCTTGTTTAAAACGAATACCAACTCCATATTTTCGGAAAAAAACACCTCTTTATGCATATTCAAATGCACTTACCCCCCAAAAAAACTGCGCAGTTTTCATAACATGCATATGTATTTTCATACCTGTCAATTCTCACATAGCAAAACGCTGCCAATATTTCCTCTGCCCTCCTTTTCAAAGACAAAAATTCCACGGAAAGTTTACTCTTACAAAACACGAACCAAGTCTAAAAAGCGACTTAACTTTTCTATCCACGTAGTTCACTTCAAATATAATCCTTCATCGCCACACTAGCAATATGAAAGCTACGCCGTTCCTTACAGATATATTTATCTCCATATTAGACTCATCAAAAATCGCTATCTATAAATACATCTTTATTACATTTATATCAGTGTTATCAGATTCCCGTTGTACTTTGCTGAATAAAACCTATTTACCATTAAACTAACGTCATCAAATCTACTTCATTCTGTGCAAATGTAATTCATTTTCACATTATTATCGTAATTAATAACACGAAGGAAAATAAGCCTATTTACTATTTTCAGACACAGTGCCATAAAGCAACAGACAGACGCTAAAAATGCAAGATAATCGCACTCCAACCCCCTCCTGCAATGCGGCGAATAAAAAGGAAAAGAGAGATAGATTAAAAGAGAGAGAGAGAGAGAGAGAGAGAGAGAGAGAGAGAGAGAGAGAGAGAGAGAGAGAGAGAGAGAGAGAGAGAGAGAAGAGAGAAAAAAATTAATAAGTTATAAATCTATCAGTTAAAAAAAGAAAAATGAAGAGAGAAATGGAAAACATATATCAATCAATTAAAGAGATAGATAGATAGATAGATAGATAGATAGATAGATAGATAGACAGAGAGAAAGTGAAACAAAATGGAAAACTTATAATCATATGAAAAAATAAATACAAAATCTTTATGGATATACACAACAACGGCCCCGGCGATGACATCACCATCATCCGAAAGCCACATTTCAAACCGCACATTATCAGAAATTAAAACATCCTGCGATAATAATAAAAAAATAAATAAAATAAAACGCACCACCGGGGAGATGCTACGGAACCATGCCCCCCCCCCCCCTAATCCTTCCTCTCCTCCGCCTCCCTTCCTTTTCTACTCAACTACTTCCCTCCCCTTCCTCCCTCCTCTCCTTTCTTCCCCTCCTCCCCTCCTCTCCCTCCTCTTCTGATCTCCTCTACTTCCCTCCTCCTCTTCTCCTTTCCTTTCCTTTCCTTTTCTTTCCTCTCCTCTCTCCCCCCCTCCTCCTCCTCCTCCTCCTCCTCCTCCTCCTCCTCCTCCTCCTCCTCCTCCTCCTCCTCCTCCTCCTCCTCCTCCTCCTCCTCTCCTCTCCTCCTCCTCCTCTCCTCCTCCTCCTCTCCTCCTCCTCCTCTCCTCCTCCTCCTCCTCCTCCTCCTCTCCTCCTCCTCCTCTCCTCCTCCTCCTCCTCCTCCTCTCCTCCTCCTCCTCTCCTCTCCTCCTCCTCCTCTCCTCCTCCTCCACCTCCTCCTCCTCCTCCTCTCCTCCCCTCTCCTCCCCAACCCTCCTCCTCTCCTCTATGACCCTGCCCCCCCCCACTCAGACTCGATAAAAGAAACAGGAAGGAAAATGAAGACACGATATGATGGCAATACTATAAACACAGGAAGGGGGTGGAGGGGAGAGAGGGTGGAGGGGAGAGGGGGAGAGGGAGGGGGTAGGCATGGACAGAAGGTAGGGGAGGGTGGGGAGGTAAGAAGACATAGGAGGGAGGGAAGGGAGGGGAGAGGATAGAAAGAAGGACGAGGAGAGAGGAGGGGAGAAGAGACGAAGTGATGAGAGGGGAAACAAAGAGGGAGAGGGGGGAGGGGAGTGGCCAGGGAGATAACATAATGGAATGCAATACAAAAACAAGAGGGAAGGAGGAGGGGGAGGAGGAGGTTTTGGGAAAGGAAGGCAGGAGAGAAGAGGGAAAAGGGGAAAGGGGATGATTTTAAGGAACGGAAAAATAAACAAAACAAAAGAAAGAGGGGGAAAGAGTAATGAGAGTTAGACGAGAGGGGGAGGGGAGAATAAGAATATGATCGAAAGGAGAAGCAGTTCTATTACAAAGGTATACATGAATATGGGGAAAACGAAGAAGAAGAAAAGAATCACGACCAACGAAGGAAGAAGAAATCAAGCAGAAAATACGGGCGACAATTATTGCAATTATCAATGTCCTCTTTATCGTCATATTTCCCGCCGGTATCTTTTTGTTAATGTTATCTTTGTCGCTTTCGCGACACTTTCGAGAGAGAGAGAGGTGGGAGAGGGGATAGAGGGAGAGGGAGAGCGAGCAGGGAAGGGAAAAAAGAGAGAGAGCGAAAGCGAGAGAGAGAGAGAGAGACAGAAAGACAGAGAGAGAGAGAGAGAGAGAGAGAGAGAGAGAGAGAGAGAGAGAGAGAGAGAGAGAGAGAGAGAGAGAGAGAGAGAGAGAAAGGGTAGAGGCGGGGGAGAGGAGAAAGAGAAG